CACTACCCCCCAAACCCTAAAAACAGGGTAGGGAGGTAGGGGGGGGGGGGGGGGGGGGGGGGGGGGGGGGGCAACGCGCGGCCCCCGGTAGACTCGGCCCCCCCCAGGGTCGCCGCGACGGGCGACGGGAGTTGGGCCGGGGCAGGTCGGGGCCGGGGCAGGTCGGGGACGGGGCGGGGCAGCAGGGGCCGCGCACGGCTCCCCTGGGCAGCGCGACGGGGCAGCAGGGCCGCGCGACGGGGCAGCAGGGGCCGCGCGCGGCTCCCCTGGGCGGCGCGACGGGGCTGCAGGGGCCGCGCGACGGGGCTGCAGGGGTCGCGCGCGGCTCCCCTGGGCGGCGCGACGGGGCTGTAGGGGTCGCGCGACCCGCCGCGCGCCTCGGGGCGCGCGGCGGGCAGGAAACCGCCGCGCGCCTCGGGGCGCACGGCGGGCAGAAAACCGCCGCGCGCCTCGGGGCGCACGGCGGGCAGAAAACCGCCGCGCGCCTCGGGGCGCACGGCGGGAAGAAAAACTGCCGCACGCCACGAAGCGTGCGGCACAGAGAGTAGCAGTAGCAGTTGCAGCGGAAGCAACAAGGTGGTGAGCCCACCCACAGGATCGATCCAAGGGGATCGACCTGCTCTGATAGCATGTTAAAGTTTAAAAGAGAGAAGAGAGAAGAAGGGTTGCACTAGCAAGAATGGGGATACAAATAGCAAACCCTAGAAGGGTTGTACTCGCTATAGAGCACCCCACTACAGGCTAGAGCATAAGATAACATTCTGACACGTGGAATGCATTTCTTGTCAAAGCTATTCTTTCACCACCTTCTTTAGTGCATCTTGCCCGGTGACACCAGTAATTGTTACCCATTTTCAGTTTGGCACACTCTCTGAGCCCACTTGGGGATGGCAGGTTATTTGATACCGTGTTAGCAATGACGATGATGATCACGGTTGTGACGATGCGCATTAGGCTAGACCGGGGTTAGATCGGTTGCTTAACTCGCCTGCACGCGAAAAAAACACCCCATGCTACGCATGGTGTTGTAGTGTGTGCTTGCATTAATCATAATATGCACGTTGACTACGTAACAGAGCCGAAACCAACAGATCCAGAAAAAAAAAAAAAAAAACACCCAGGATCATTGGCAACATTGATATTGGTTCTTCGCTATATTTGCTAACTAATCTTCAGCATATTGTAATGTAATTAAGTTATAAGTGAATTATACCGCTAGTTAATCTGTTCTGTATTCTTGATTCAACTCAGGTGGATTGAGCGGGGACAGCCGGCCCCGAGTAATCATTCCATAGCCTTTGTCGAGAATGGGTCTGGTCACGTCACGTTCGTTGCCTTTTACTGGACCCCAGGCCAAACAACAGTGCGGTCCCACCCACCAGCACGACCTGTATTTCTTCCACCCAAATTGTACAAAAAATAACGAGGTACCTGTCCAGTGTACATTTCAGACGATTAGTCGCGCCGTCAATCAAATCCGACGGTCCGTCATCTGGATTGCATGCGGCTCGGGTGGGATGGACACACTACCTAAGAACCAGCCGGTTTTGGAGGGTTGACCCCGTCCCGATTGGCCGTTTTGACTTCTGCCCGCGGCTAGTTGACGGCTAAACGCCGGTCAACGTTGCAACGTCGGCTCCAAACGTTTGTGATCGGGCTGGCCGACTAATTACCTGACGCTTGCGCGCTGGAAAAGGGCATTTCACCAGACCACACAAGGGCTGCAAGGGCTGTGCTGGGCAGAGGTGTTGCCGCTGACAAATCATCGCCGTCCTCCCTTCTGTTGTGTTGGGTGGACCGAAACAGTCGTGCACCACGTGACCACACAACCACTGACCTTGAAAGTTCCGTCGTGTACGTGTCCGCCACTCGCTTGTAACGCAGGCCCTCATTGTTGTCTCACCCGTTGAAAGTTCGGAAGGCAATCATGGCCGGGGGCCGATTCACGAAGGCTAACAGATTCCAGTTTGTGTGTAAACGTGTCCAAGAATATCTGACGAGTACACGGGAATGGTCCATTTTTGCTGGATTTGAACATAAAATGTACACATGCGTGACATTCGGGCAGCGTGTACTTGTGAGAGGAGAAATTCAGGGAATTTCCATCTGCCGGGGCTGCCGTTTCCGGTTAAGTTGGCGGCCGACGCAGGCTCGGCTGTAATTATTTCGTCGGCCTGGGAAATTGGGTCCGCCTTTTAACGTCCAAAAGTTTGGGATGTGGAGAACAGTTCCATAATACTTATGCATTGGACAATACATAACTGTACATAAATCTCTAAGTGTCGGTGGTTTAGCTGCTGAACTATCCTGAACACACGGATTTGCTAGCGAATCTTTAAGAGTCATTCAAAGCGAGTCTCGTAATATGCTGTTTTGACAATGAAAAAGAAACAGTATAAGCCTGACAGGCACCAACACCACCGCCTGACGCCGGCAGAACAGACAGAACCGGTTTTCGAGACATTGATGAGCCCGTTTCTCCTGCCCGACTGCGTGGAACTGGGCACGATGCTTCTACTACACTAGATCCGTTTGGTGTATCCAACTTGTACATGGATTTTTCCAGGGACAAGTTCATGGTCTTCGACTTGGCACACAACAAAAAAAATTACCACCACGCGTCGCATGTTCCCTTCCAAGTGTCAGTTGATCCAAAACAGTATGACCAGCAATATTCGGCTTAACTACAGCAGTAACATTACAAAAACAGCGGTATGTTCGTCCACCAACTTGCCGCCGATGGTTTGTTGGCTCATACATCCGAGCCGCGACGGCGCTTACCTCCGAACAGTCCCAGTAGTAGTTTAGTGCTTCCCTCAGTTCCCGATGATGGAACAGTTTCGCGCTGCGTTTCCAGGAGAAACTCAAGTTATTCCTTGGAAAAACTGCCTCCGAAAGGAAATCGTCTGATACAAAACCTGTTCAAACAGGCGCTTGGAGAAAATAATATGGACACAAGTGCCGCCTTTACTATCACTAGTAGTTCCTCTGGCAACAAAACCAAACGAGGCAAGATGAGGAACCCTGAGCTTGCAGAAACTGGAGTTGAAGTTCTCAATACCACCAATGCCACTGCCGCCACTGCAAGTGGCAGTACACATGACATTTTAGGAGATGGCTTCCCACCAGGAATTAGATTCCGGCCGACGGACGAGGAGCTGCTGTGTTACTACCTCAGGCGGCGCGTGGAGGGCCTTCCCATCGCATGGAATGCGATCGGTGACGTGGATCTGTACAAGTCCGAGCCTTGGGAACTGCCAGGTGCATAAGCATCATCCTGAATGTAACTCACAAACACCAAGTGTTTGTATTCCCGGAACATTCGTATACCTCTGTCTGTGTAAAATTTTAAGGTCTTTCACACCATGGAAGTCTCTCTCTCTCTCTCTCTCTCTCTCTCTCTCTCTCTCTCTCTCTCTCTCTCTCTCTCTCTCTCTCTCTCTCTCTCTCTCTCTCTCTCCGTCGTCTTCTTCTTCCTCCTCCTCCTCCCTTCAGAGACATCACTTACCCCTCTTCTGCTCTCATCCCCCCCTCTCCGCCACTCCCAGCCAGAGCGACATGCCCAATTTCCTGCGACGGCGAGTGGTTCTTCTTCGCAGCCCGCGACCTCAAGTACCCATCGGGGTCCCGGTCTAACCGAGCTACAACTGCTGGGTACTGGAAGGCCACTGGGAAGGACAGGCCAGTGCACGTGCGGTTTGCAGGCAACGAAGGCACAGAGGACCAGACAGTCAAAGTGGGATTCAAAAAAACTCATGTCTTTTATATGTGAGTTCAGATCTGCGATTGTTTCTCCCTCTTGGGCTGGGCGTGTTCTGCACTTTAGATTGTTCTGGGCCTGGCTGTTCAGGTCTTCATACTGACTATTTGGTTTGGGGTTGCGTGTTCAGGCCGTTGGACAGTTTTCCTCTGGCTCCTGTTCCTTGTTTGTACTCTCAGATTTGTTGCTCATTTTCTTTGCTCAGTTTTCTGTTGCCTTGCCCAGACATTTGATTGATTTTTGATGTCGTTCCTTTTGGTTTTCAAAGTGCTTGTTCGTTTGTTTGTTTTGTGTGTGTGTGTGTGTGTGTGTGTGTGTGTGTGTGTGTGTGTGTGTGTGTGTTTGTGTGTGTGTGTGTGTGTGTGTGTGTGTGTGTGTGTGTGTGTGTGTGTGTGTGTGTGTGTGTGTGTTTCCCTTGTTTGGGTTCGGTTCACTTGTTCAGCTTGCATGCTCGGGTTTATGAATAGTTTGTTTTTCAGATTGTTCAGTAGGATTCTCAGCTTTTTTGTTCTGGATTTTGGTTTCTGTAATGTCATATGGTAGTTTGGATTTTGGTTTTGGGGGTTTATTATCGTTTTCCGGCTCTTTGATTTTTTGTCCAGTTCTTGAGGTAGCTTGTTCGGGTTTGAATTGTACGAAAGGGTTTTCAAGTTTTGTTTTCATCTGTTCATAGCCTTCTGCAACTTCTACGGGTTTCCAGCCTTTTTTTTATTTGTTCAGATTGCTATTTTGGGATCTTGGTTTTCGGTTTAAGATTGTGTTTTCCGGCCCTTTTAATTGCTGTTTAGGCTTTAAGGTTGTCTTTTTGGGGTTGCTTTTCTTCAATTTACCATGTCGTTGTTTCTGCTCTTCCGAGTGTTGGTTTGGTCTCCAGCTTGGTTGTTTGGGCCCTTGGATCGTCGTTTCAGTTTTGGGTGTTGTGTGTGTGTGTGTGTGAGTGTGTGTGTGTGTGTGTGTGTGTGTGTGTGTGTGTGTGTGTGTGTGTGTGTGTGTGTGTGTGCGCTTGTGCTTGTGCTTGTGCTTGTGTATAGTTATGGCTTCTGAGGTTATCTGGTCGGGTTTTTATTTGTTTCCTTAATCTGGCAGGATTATGATTTTTTCCACCTTCTTTTCCATACTTTAAGTCTTCAGTGTTCGGCATGGTAAGTTACACCGTTTACTTAATAATCCTTTGTTCCTTTCTTATTCTTCTGTGGACAACAGGGGGCGAGCGCCAGGAGGCGACAAGACTGACTGGGTCATGCACGAGTACCGGCTGACAGAGGATTTGTCTGTAGCTGGACTGGCTGGTACAGACGTGGCACATGCTACAGCTGCAGAAAGGGATGCAGCAGGTGGCGCTGCTGGTGGTGTTTTAGCCAGCAGCAGCAACAGCAGCCCCAAGGGCAGCACTTCGGAACGTCGAACTGGCACTGCTCAAAAGATTAACCTGGCGTCATGGGTGGTTGTGAGAGTGCTCAAGCGAAGCTCCCTGACAGCTGAGGAGCAAGCGACAGTGACGCAACAGGTGATGGCAGCACAACATGCAATGGTAGCACAGCAGAGGATGACAGAACAGCAGCAACTGGGTGGGGCTCCTCCCCAAGGTGTGAATCCGTTGCTCTTAGTGCACCCGCCGCGAGAGATCAGAGCAGAGCAGCAGGCAGTTGTCACAGGTGGTATGGGAGGAAGCAACGTGGCAGTGGCTCGTGGGACTGCACACAGGATGGGAAGTTTGGCACCAGCAACAGGGTACCCTATGGGTGTGACAGGGGATGTTAGGAGTGATTCACCCTCGACAGACTCCCAAGGGGATAACTCCCCAACCACACTCACAACCAGCCAATCACCCAACTCTTCCTTTTCTGCAATGCCTGTGGATGTGCGGAGCAGTGACACAGCAAGCCAAGCAGCAGGTTTGGGTACAGGAGCAGCAGCAATGGCGCCTGTAGCAATGGAGTTAGCAGGAGTAGGAGCGGCAGTAGGAGCGGAATTTGGAGCCGCCGGTAACCTCTCTACACATCCAACCCCCGCATCCGCTCTCCTCAAGCTTCCCACTTCCTATGTCCAGGCCGGTGCTTTTGGGACGAAACAAAACAGTGCTGGCAGCAGCAGCAGGCCAGCAGTGCAGCAAGGGGTACTGCCCCAGCCGCAACTCAGCTTGGCAGAACTGCAGCATTTGTTGTTGCTCCATCAGCAACAAAGCAGCGCTTCAGCAATGCAGCAAGGAGTATTGCTCCAGCAGCGGCACCAACAGAACATCCCGGCAGTGCAGCACGAGTTAGAGCAAGTCCTCTTTCACGACCCATCATTTAGGCAGCTTTTGTTTCAGGCGGAGTCTTCTGAGCCACCTTGCAGCAGGGACGAAGACCCTCTTATTCAGGTCCAAGCAGAGGCAGCGCCTTTTGGCCTATGGGAGGTGATGCAGCAGGGGATGCGCACTGGGGAGGATCAGATGGTACTTCCAGAAGGAATGACAGTACCAGAAAGAATGACAATACCACCTACACCAGGTGCCACCGTGCTGACACCAGCCAATCCCCTCCTTCCGCTCCCCCCCACCCACAACCACATCCAGCTTCTGTCTCTCCCACTCACAAGAGCACCACCAAACCAGCAAGCTGGTTTCACGGTTACCTCTCAGCAACAGCAAGGCCACAGTGCACCACAGCAGAGCGGTTACCAGCAGGCGATCGCAGCCCCTTTTTCCTCCTGGTCTGCTCCTCCACACCCGTTCCGTCCTACCCCTTCTGCTTCCATGTCTGCATCCTCATCGGGTGACTCTCAGCCCTGTACAATGCAGCGTCCAGCAATCCTTCCAACATTTTCTACCGCTGCTAGTGTTGCTGCTGCTGGTGGTGCTAGTACAGACCCAGCTGGTGCTGCTGATTCAGCTGAGCCAGGGGACACAGCAGCAGGTCAAAAGGACCACCAGGAGGAGATGCAGCAGCTGGCAAATCTTCTCCGATCCATCTTAGGGAATTCAGTGGCCAGTACCAATGCTGCCACTGCCGAACCTGCCGCTTCAACTCGCACCAGTCCAGCTCCTGCCCCTGTCTTTGCTTCAAGTTCTGGTGAGGTTCCCATAGCCTCTGCCATTCAAACAATGGCTGCAGCTCTCAATATGGCTTCAAGTGGGCTCTTAAAAAGCACAGCAGCGGGATCGGTTGCAGCACCCCCAAATTCTGCTGTAGCACCCCAATATTCGGTTCTGGCACCTACTGCAGGAGCCCAGCAGGGGAAAAGGCACAAAGGGCAGCACATAGTGAATGTTGGGTACCCAGAGCAGCAGCAGCAGCAGCAGCAGCAGCAGCAGCAGCATGGCCAATATTCCCTGCATGAAATGCTTCAGCAGCACATGTCTCAGCAGCAGGAACTCAGTCCCGACCCCCCGCGTCCCAGAAGCGCTTCCTGTCCTGCTGTCCCTCTGCAAGGTGGCAATCACCATGTAACGCCCTTTCGTACCACCCACAGCTACAACCATCCCGGGTCATTGCAAGGGGCGCTGGGTGTGCAGGGTGAGCAAGGGAGGACAGATATGGAAACCCAGAGTGATTCGCTCCTCCATACCAGCGTGTGGGGGAGAGGTGGACTAGAGGTGGCTGGAAGGGGGAAGGTGGGAGAGGGGAGGAGTGGAGGTGGAGATGGTGGCCTGGAAGAGATTATCCGCCACACCAGCTGGTATGGACGAGCAGGGGTCTCTGGCATGGAGCAAAGAGAAGTGAATTTCCCAGGAGGGGTGGGAGTTGCAACAGCAGGGGTAGCAGCAGCTGGTGCAGGGGCGGAATCAACCAGTGCAGGGGTGGAGGCCGCAGGGGTGGGAGATGCAGCAGCAGGGGCATCCACAGCATCTGGGGCAGCGGCGGCAGCACGAGGAGGAGGGGACCAGATGGCATCGGTGGATGGATTGGGGATATCAGACCTGGAGGCGCTTCTAATGGATGCGGAGGGAGAATTGGGCACGTTCAGCAGTATGCTCACTGGGTTCAGCCCGCATCCCTTCAGCAGCATGGCTGGCAGCGCTCAGTCACTGCCCGAATCATTCTTTCCATCACCAGCGGTACCTCTGACAGCGGGTCAAGCATGGACAGATGGGGCAGCAGAATCAGGAGAAGCATCAACAGCAGCAGCGTCAGCAGGTTCGACCGCAGCAGCAGCAGCAGAAGCAGAAGTGGGTGCATCTGGAGGTGCAGAAGCAGCCACTACAAGCAGGATGGCCGGTGTTTCAGGGGAAACACAGCGAGGGAATCGTGGCAGCCAGGGCGCTGGGAGGATGCAATCTCCCAAAAGGAGTCGTGAAGAGGACTGCTGATTCATGGGCAGAGGTTTTTCCCTGAGAGCTGTTAGTGTGCATATGATGGTCACCCTGGCCCAGGGTCTATGGATAGCGTAGGACTAATGCCAACCAGGAGTACCTAGGAGAATCTAGGAGATCTTGGAAAATCAGCTCGTTTTCCATAGGAGTACCTAGGAGATCTTGGATGAGAGCCATAGGAGTACATGCAAATAAAAAATCTGCTGTAGATACGAAAATACAGATTCCATTCAAATCCTCAAGTACAAACTTCATTCAAACTGGTAGTACCTACGGTACATCCTAGGTGAATTATGACAATCCCCACTCGCTCATTCAATTGCACACGTAACATATGTTTTTTTATTCACGTCACTCAAGGAAAGAGCCATTCCGTAGGGAGAGCCAAGAGAGTGCACCTGTGCGTGTCCACGGGATGACAGTATGCAAATTTCAGCACTTGCAGGGATATCGAAGGTAGTCATCCCTACCTTCACATGTCAACTCTAGTTGTTTCTCTTGGGCTAGAGATGTCATCACCACTCTATGTACACTAACAACCCCCAGAGAGACGAGCTCATGAAACACTTGCTCAAAGCAAGAATCAGCAGTCCTCTTCACGACTCCTTTTGGGGGAGAGAATTCTTCCAGTGCCCTCGTTGCTACGATTCCCCATTTCTGGTTCCCGCGATAACTCAATATTCCTGCTTGCAATGGCTACCTCGGCACCTTCTCCTCCAGCTGCTTCTGCTGCGGCTGCAGCTGATTTGTCTCCTGCTTTTGCTGCTCCATCTGCCCGTGTCTGACCCACTGCCCCACTTCCCGGAGCTTTGAAATAAGACCCCGGCAGCAACAGAGCGCCCTGGCCCTTTGACCACATGCCGTCACTGCCACCAGAGGTATTGGCAGTGGGAAAAGCAGCCATGGCCGCAGCAACCCTTTCCTCTAATGCAAATGAGCCTTCATCCCCAGTATGCATTGGCGGATACGGGGTAGATCCCAGTGGTATGGTAGGTGCCAGTCCCTCAGGCAGTTGACTGATGACCATGCCAGTCCCAGTGGTATGGAAGGTGCCAACAGGCTGGATAGCACCGATCATGCTGCTACTGGGATGCTGGCTGATCCAGCTGAACATGCTGCTGAGAAAGCTTACTTCTCCCTCCCCAGTCAGTAAAAGTGCCTCCACATCTGTTAGCTCCTCCAACCCATCTACCGATGTCAGCAGGTCACCTTCTCCTCCTCTCGCTGCTGCAGCTACCCCTGCCACTGCAACTCCACCCCTTACTTCCATCAAACGTGCACCAGTTGACTCTGTCCCAGTTGTTTCAACTCTCACAGTAGCACCTGCCATCCCTGAACCAGCTGCTGCTACCCCTGCTGCCCCCACCCCTCCTGGGAAGTGATTTTCTCTGTGCTCCATCCCAGAGCCATGTGCTCCTCCATACCCGCTGGTGAGGCAAATCATCTCCTCCAAGCCACCGACCCCGCCGTCTCCCCTTCCTTTCCCCTCTCCTTCCATTCCAGAGCCCCTTGCTCCTCCATACCCGCTGGTGAGGCAAATCATTTCCTCCAAGCCACTGAATCCGCCGTCCCCTCCTACTTTCCTCTCTCCATCCATCCCTCCTCCAGCAATTTCTGCTTCACCACTCCCCCACACAGTCGGATTTTTCATGTCTAACCTGACTTGCTCGCTGTGTCCCACCAACGCCCCTTGCAATGACTGGGTGTGGGAGTCACAAGCGGGTGTTTCAAACTGGTTGACGCCTTGAATGGGAGCCTGAGGCGGTAGAGGAATGGCAGGAATGAGTCCTTGCTGCTGAGGCATGTCCTGCTGAAGCATCTGATGCTGGTGGTATTGACCATGCTGCTGCTACTGCTGCTGCTGCTGCTGCTGCTGCTGCTGCTGCTGCTGGTTGTGTCCCTGGTCGTGGCACCCAAATGTTACAACAGCGTGCTGACCCTTGTGCCGTTTCCCCTGCTGGGCTGCTGTCGGGGATGGGGCAACCGAATATGATGGAGCTGAAACCGCATTCGCGGGTGCTCCAGCTGCGCATGACAGTGTGTCAAATGATTGCAAGCAGGATGCCTCCGGATATCCTGCTGCTGTGCTGTTGAACCCTCTAAACTCAACTCTGTGAGCACCAAACACCCCCAGAATGGCAGAGGGTGCAACACCTGTTGGGACCACACCAGAACCTGAGCCTACGAAGGGTTGGGAATAGCCTGCAACTGGAATAGCAGGAGCAGCTGCAGTAGAAGCAGCTGCAACTTCAGCAGCAGCAGGAGTTGTAGGGGCAGGATCTGTATCGAAGCTACTGGAGGCAGCGACAAGACCAGCAAAGGGAAAAGCTGTAGCAGCAGCATGTGCACTGTTATAGTCACAATAGGCTTGAATGTGCCTAAAACGAAAGATAGAGAGCACAGACGGATTTCTGCACAGCGGCTTCAAACGTTGATAGCGTTCTGCTCACAGCTGCAAATGACTTGATTCAAATTGGATCTGGAGCGTCTTCACGTCGTCTACAATTAGCAATTTAGATTGCACGATTTGATAAAGAATTGACGACACAGCGTTGGTTTGAACGAACGGTACTATGGCAGCCACTATAATCTTAGAACACAAGATAGGAAGAGTTACGAGTTGGGAATGACTCCCAGCTCCTACAAACCCCAAGAGCCGAGGTACAGTGATGTGGAACAGTGCCACACTGTCCCCAACCACGAAGGGTCTCGAAACTACCCTTCACTAGGGCCTACACCAAGTGAAATGTTACACTACACAAAGTAATGTAACTATCTTCAATATCTTGAGGTGTACCCTTTTGGCAAGCTTCGAAATCACTTGAGGCTTGACACCAAGGCTCGGGCTCTTCATCACAAACTCATCCTTGAGTTCTTGATGGGTCTGCTGCACACACCTGCGACACGCCGAACGTTCGACACAGGACAAAATAGAAACCGCGCACGACAAAATAGAAACCGCGCGCGAGACACAAACGACCGCGTAACACGCGTCTAGCGATAACTCGCTATTGACTCGACACACACACTCGACATCATGACTCAACATTCACACACAATTATAAGCATGAAATATATATTATCCCATGCCCTCATACCATTCCATACACACACACACATTCACGCACACGGACAACAAGCCGAGTGCAAACCGTAGGGTTGCATCAACAAACTCCCCCTCGGATTGTTGACCTTAGGATATGTTGCTCTCTCAGTTCAGAGCCATCCCAGCCAGCTTGCAACACTTCCAATGCTGCTGCTCTACCAGCCTCTTGGTCATCATGTCAGCCGGCTGCCCCGTGGTCTTCACGTAGCGCAACTCAACTTCACCCGCGGTTACCATGCTCCTCGTCCAATGCCACTTCACCCTCATGTGCTTCGTGAGTCCATGCAACACAGGGTTCTTAGCAAGAGCAATGGCACCCTGGCTGTCACAGTACAGTGGGGTAGGTCCTTGCTGCTCCTCCCCCAATTCAGCCAACAAACGCCGCTGCCACACAATCTCCCGTACGGCACGGAAGAGTGACATGTACTCGGACTCCACCGAGCTCAAAGCTTGGTCAACCTGCTTCTTGCTCTCCCAAGCAGTTGGGCCTCCACCAACACAGCATATGAAGCCTCCCACACTTGTCATGTCCTCTGGTTCTGATGCATATGAAGCATCCGAGTAGGCGGTGAGGAACAAACGCCCGGGTTCAACACCATCCGCGCCCTTTTGGCGCCTTTGTGCCGCCGCCGAGTATTGCAGCCCAACGGTCGGTGTTTGGCCAAGATACTTGGCCACCCTCATTCCAGCTGCTACCTGCTCCTCATTAGGGCATTGCACAACCCTAGCCAGCTGCCCGGTAGCAAACGCGACGTCCGGTCGGGTGTTTACCGCCGCATACATGAGGCTGCCCACCAACGAGTGAAATCGGCGCCTCTCCTCTTCACCAACGCTCTCCTCCTCTGGTCCCTTCACACACTTGAACCCAGAGGGAAAGGGTGTAGCCACATGGCCTTCACTCTGCCCAAAGTTGGCAGCCAATGCCTCCAGGTACTTTCGTTGATGCACCCGCATGCACCGCTTCTCCACATCTCGTTCGATGTGGAGCCCAAGGTAGAAGCTCACGTCACCAAGGGCCTTGCACTTGAACTTGTCTTGAAGCTTCAGCATCACCTCCTTCACAAGGTCAGAAGAGGGTGAGAAAATGAGGATGTCATCCACATAAACCACCATGAAACTCCTCTGCTCCCCCTCGCCAAGCATGAACAAGGAGTGATCGGCCGTTGAGGGAGTGAAGCCGATCCCCTCCAACACTTCGCGCAGCTTCATGTACCATTGCCTAGGGGCCTGCTTCAGCCCATAGAGGGCCTTCTTCAGCTTCCACACTCTGCCACTACCATCATCAAACCCCTCTGGCTGCGCCATAAAAATCTCCTCCTCAAGGATGCCGTTAAGGAATGCCGTTACGATGTCCATTTGCTTTACTACCCATCCTTTGATGGCGGCTCCCGCGAATAGGGTTCGCAGCGTCGTCGGCTTCACCACAGGGGCAAACAGCTCCTTGAAGTCCACCTTCTCCTTCTGCTGGTACCCCTTGGCTACAAGCCTAGACTTGTAGCGCTCGATCTTGCCGTCGGCATCCGACTTGATTTTGAAGAGCCACTTGGACGTTATCGCCGTACGCCCCTCCGGTAGCTCCACCAATTCAAACGTGTCATTCTCCTCGATGCTCTTCAGCTCACTCTCCACGGCCTTCTTCCACTCCTCAGCATCACTACTCTCCAAAGCCTCCTTGAGAGTTGTTGGTTCTCCTGGCATCTCCACCGGAGAGAAGAACGCGAAGGCACACTCCTCGTAGTCACTCTCCTCGTCGTCTCCGACCATCATTGCCGCTCCGCCCAGGGCTGTCTTGCCCTGCTTTCCCGGCGCATCATAGGTCAGCCTATTAGGGGGTTGAACTCTCCTCTTCCCCCTTCCTTCCTCCTCAGCTGCAGGGACTTGAAGGCCTTGGCGTTGCTGCGGTGTGGCTCGAATCCGTGGAGCACTCGTAGTACGGGAAGGGAGTGACGGTGCACGCTCGCTCACTTGCTGCACCTCCTCCTCTTCTTCCTCTGCATCATTGGCCTCCTCTCCCCCATTCACAAGGGAGGATTGCCTTGTGGTTGTGCTGCCGCTGCTCAGCTCCAAAGGCAGCTCCACATGCTCCAAACCGGAACTCTTCACCTCCCCAAACCGCACGCCTATCTTCGCCTCATTCTCCGCCTTCCAATCCTTGTACATGAAGTTCTCCATGAACTTGCAGTCCCTGCTCACCAAGAACTTCTTGGTGAATGGGTCCCAAAGAAGCCATCCCTTGCTGTTTTGAGCCATGCCCAAGTGCACGGCCCACACCACCTTGGCACCAAGCTTGTTGTGCCGAAGATGCTTAGGCACGAGCGCCATGCACATGCACCCGAACACCCGAAGCATATCCACCTTTGGCTTCCTTCCTAGCCACTCCACATAGGGCACCCATTTGTCTGCTCCCACATGAGTCAAGGCTCTGTTCTTGGCCACACACGCGCTCCGCACCGCATCAGGCCAGAAATAGTCGGGTAGCCCGGCTTCAATGAGCAACCCGCGTGCCGCTTCCGTGATTGTGCGGTTCGCTCGCTCGGCGATGCCGTTCATTGCAGGGGAGTATGGCATAGTGAGGGAGTGCCGAATACCATTCTTCTTCAGCCACAGCCCAAACTCCTTGCTCAGGAACTCTCCCCCTCGATCGGTGCGGATTGACTTGACTAGACGGTCTTGTTGCCGCTCCACCATCGGGAACCAATCCGTCTTCAACGTTTCAGCCACGTCGCTCTTCTTGGCCAGCACGTACACCCAAGTCATGCGGGTGTAGACGTCGACAATGGTGAGAAAATACTCAGCTCCAGCAGCTCCAAGCTTCAGGGGGCCCACCACGTCCATCACCACCTCATCAAGCGGTGCCTTTGCCGTTGCCTCCGAACTAGGGAACGGAAACCGGGTGAACTTGGCTTGAATGCACGTCGGGCAGCCAAGCACCTCATCGGGCTCCCCCTTCACACGTATGCCAGCAACCATCTCATTCTTCACTAGCTGCTGCAAGATGGGCAGGGCCACATGCCCCATGCGCCGATGCAAGGTGAGCCAATCACACTCCCCCGTAGCCGAAGTTGGATTGGAGAATGCCGCGCTCGCAATAGCGCCCCACATACTCTCTCCGTAGTCCTCCTCCGCTGCTGCCTCTGGGTTCTCCTCACCCTTTTGCTGCTCCTTGGTTGCTGCACCACTCTCCTTAGGTTCACTGAACTTGCTGGTCCCTCCAGGTTTGCTCTTCTTGAGCTCATTCTCCTTAGCGCGACCGTTCGCGCCATCGTCGCTACCGACCGCTCCATCCTTGGTGCTGATGCTTGCTGCCACTTGCCTCTCCTTAGGCATAGGGACCACTGGGATCTGCCACATCTCGTTGTAGACATCCCTGTCCTCATGAAGGTCCCAAAGAATTCGATCGCCAAGCCTTGCGGTGTAGGTCTTGGCTCCCTTCGAGTTCGTGTCCATGCCGGCCTTTGCCAACCGCCGCACGGAAATCAGGTTTGCAGCAAGGCTGGGCACCCAAAGCACGTTCTTGAGGCCCACCATCTTCCCATCAGCACCCTTGAACATGGCCTTGCCCATGCCTTTCACATCTGCTCGCTGCCCCAAAGCCGATGTGACATGCTTCACCGGTGACGGCTCGAGTTCGGTGAGCAAGTCCGGGCGAGGTGTCATGCTATAGGTAGCGCCACTATCAATCACCCAATAGTCCAGGGGGTGTAGGGTCACCT